TTAAGAGCCGGTAAAAAAAAAAGAATGATTTGAAGGCTGAGGCTTTACCTAGAAGAAACACTAAGTTTCATAGAAAAGACTTCAAAAAAGTTTTTGTCAAAATATCCCAAAATCGAGTGAAAACTCTCAAAGTAATCTCTAATTCTATAAAAAAAAATTTCGCTGAATTATATTAGATTTATAAGTAAGTAAGTAAAATAAATTTATAGAGATATGTAAATGAATAGAATATGTTTTTAATTAAAAATATTTTAAATATAAATTTTGACGTACCTACTCCTTGAGGTATTTATTTCCAAGATAGTGCTACTCCTCAAATGGAAGGGTTAGTTGAATTACATGATAATATAATGTACTACTTAGTTATAATATTATTTGCTGTAGCATGAGTTATGTTATCAATAGTAAGAAATTACATTGAAACTAAATCACCTATCTCGCACAAATATTTAAACCACGGTAAAGTTGTGCCTACTCAAAAGTGTTTTAAGAATAATATGAATTGTATAAAGTTTTATAGTACTTCTTCTGAAGTTAATAGTGCAAAGTTTTATGAAGATGCCTTTTCTATGAGAAAAATAATTATAAAGGATAATAAAAATAAATCAGGAATATATAAATGAACCAATAAAATAACGAATGATATTTATATTGGACAATCTATAGATTTATCTAAAAGATTTATTAAATATTTTAACCTTAGTTATTTAAAAAATAGAGAAACTCTTGTTATAAGTAGAGCTTTAATTAAATACGGGTATTCTAATTTTTCATTAGATATATTAGAATACTGTGATCTAGCTAATTTAACTGAAAGAGAGCAATACTACATGGATAAATTAAATCCTAGATATAATACTTTAAAAATAGCAGGTAGCTCTTCAGGCCATAAACTTTCTGAAGAAACTAAAGCAAAAATAAGTAAAGCTTTAAAAGGAGTTTATGTTAAGGAAAAATCTCCTTTATTTGGTCGTACTCACACTGAAGAAACTAAAGCACTTATGTCTTTGACAAGATCTAAAATAAATAATTTAGGTAAAATTCATACTGAAGAAAGCAAAGAATTAATGAGAAAAAAAGCCTTAGGAAGAAAACATACTGAAGAAACTTTATTAAAGATGAGTGCTGTTAGAGGTTATTCTGTGAATATTTACGAAAAATGTGATACAGAAGGATTTAAATTAATAGGTAGCTTTGTTTCAATAAGAAGAGCTGCTAAATTTTTAGATATTAGTAGTAATAGTATAAAACTTTATATAAACTCAGGGAAAATCTTTAAAGACAGATACAAATTCACAGGAGGATCTCCTGAATAAACTTAAAAAAACTATGAGTAAAATTTCACTATATGCTGGAAACTCCTAAAGCCTTTAGGTACTATAAAGATAATTAATATAAACTTTATCAGTGATAACCCTAAAGGATGTACAATGGATTATCAGCAGGAAACCAACAAGTATTAAGTACTTAAGTAGGATCCTCAGAGACTAAACGTGGAAACCTTATAAAAGGTAAGATATAGTCCGGTTAAGTATGAAAGTACTTATGTTTTTTTCGACACTTATAGAGTTAATATGAACAATTACTCCGGCAGTAATATTAATATTAATAGCATTCCCTTCATTCAAATTATTGTACTTAATGGATGAAGTTAATGATTCTTCAATGTCAGTTTTAGCAGAAGGACATCAATGATACTGAAGCTACCAATACCCTGATTTTTTAAATACAGATGAAGAATTTATAGAGTTTGACTCATATTTAGTACCTGAATCTGATTTAGAGGACGGAGCTTTAAGAATGTTAGAAGTAGATAATAGAGTTATCCTTCCTGAATTAACACATGTTAGATTCATCATTACTTCTGGTGATGTAATACATTCTTTTGCTGTACCTGCTTTAGGTATAAAATGTGATGCATACCCTGGTAGATTAAATCAAGTTTCTGTCTTTATTAATAGAGAAGGGGTTTTTTATGGTCAATGTTCAGAGATCTGCGGAATTTTGCACAGTTCTATGCCGATCGTTATTGAGTCAGTTTCTTTAGAGAAATTTTTGACATGATTAGAGGAACAATAATATATTCTTTAAACTTATGTTTAATAGAATTTTTTTCTTTTCATTCAAATTTATGTTTTGACTTAACTAGTTCTTTAAAAACGACTTCTTGTATTAAGAGAGGGCCGGCTAATAGAAGAATCGTATTACCACCTCGGAGAGGGGTTTCAGAAAGAAGTGTCTGTATGTATTCAACTATGGCTGGAGGTTCTAGTACAGTCTCAACTAACGATTTCTTAAATATAGAGCAAATAAATCAATCAGTTCTTAATAGTACATTAAAAGCAGATTGATTCTCATTTTCAAAACAAAATTACGAGAATTTTGATTACATAGTTACTTTTATTAAATCTGTTAGTTCAATAGAAATTTTAGGAGTTTTAACTGTAATTTTAGTGGTTTTGGGCCTATCTATATTAAAATGAAAGTGCTTGGGCGATCGGATATTTTATAGAACCAAAGCTAAATTGGCTAATGGTTATGACTGAAGGAATGAGCGTCAGAGACAGTTCGATGACGATCTTTTACGTAAAATGAAGGGGCAAAGAGCTATTAATAGCAAAGTAAGTGTTTTTAGTACAAATCAACCTGAACATTTAAGATTGACTGAAGCTCAATGTACAGAATTGTGTATTCGTTATAAGCTTGGTGGTGGATGGTATTATCAGTATAGAGTGACATATGATTTTAGAGATCGGTTATATCGGTATGGTGGTGCGGCTGGCCCTCCTGCATGTAGCCAAAACATGATTGATCACGTAGAAATGACTCCTCCTCCTTCTAGTTTTCCATATTCCCCACAGTTTAGGTAAGATTAGAATATTTTTAATTTGTGTTATTATAGCATAAACAGTGCTAGTTATAAAAAAAGAGTAAATAGGGTTAATAGACGTTTATATCTCAAATGATTGAAACAGGAACAGGAACAGGTACAGGTTTATCTATAATATATTTAAATATAATAATAATCTATTATATTGCATTATATACTTATACATTTATTGCGGTAAACTTAAAAACAGTTGAAACGACTCTAGAAAAAATATTTAAAGGGTTTTATAAACCTTTTTGTTACTTTAAACTAGGTTATCTTTATGCCAAAAAATTGGATAATAAATCTCAGGCAAACAAGATATCTAAGCTATGTAAAAGGATTGATATAACAATTGATCCTAAAGATGTTCTTAGTGATTTATATTTTTGTAGTCTAAAGGGCTCTATATTTAAATATAGAAAATTTCTTTTAATAAAAAAAAGTTGGTTTTTTTCTTTAATAAAGAATATGTCCTGAATATCAGGATTATTACTATTTTTAAATAGAAACCGGAATTTGGAATTTAGGTTAACAGATTATGTTTTAAAGTTAGGTTCTAAAATCCCAGTTCTTTTTTTATCAAATGAAATATCAGCTTTGAATATTTTCGAGGTTTTATGTTTAATAGGTATTATTATAACATCATTTGATATACTATTCCTATGGGCAACTGTTCGTGATAGAGATTTATCTATATTTAGTTTGCAGGAGAAATATACTTTATTTCATAAATGTAACTTTATGGATAAAAAGGCTAAAAAGTCTTTTGTTTATCGGTGTTTTTGTTTAGGTGTATTTATTCATAATAATTCATTAAGAATAAAATTATGTGCTAGATTTTTGTTTTTATTTATAATTTTTTGTCAACTAGAATTATCTACAGAATATAGACCTAAATGGATATTTGAGTATTTAGTTATAATATTGCAAAATATTTTTAGCTATTTAGGTTTTAGTGAAACTCATACAAAGTATTTGTGGGGTCTAGTAAAACTAAAAAATAAATAAAAAAAAATAATAATGGTTAAATTATTAAAATAAATATATGATATGATATGATATAGTACCAACAATCTAAAGTTTAGGTTGAAGATCATTACATATTTATGTAATAAATATTTTATTATATTTATTACGTAAAATACTATAATTTAATAGGAAAAATGAAAAATAGTATATCTATTTTTAATATAAGTTCAAGTCTTATTAGTATTTGGGAGCGTGTATATGTAATAGTCTAATTACCGTTATACGCTCCACCACCTTTCCATTCTGACCCCCCCCTTTTTAAGCTACTCTTAGCTTTTTCAAACCTCTTTCTCATGCTCTCAATATCTTGGATACAGTAAGCAAACAAGCAAATTGTATTCCCTGAAATATACTACCCCATCAAAACGCGTTTTGATAAATTTATTTTGCAAAACGCTACAAAACATTCCGTCATCATGGCCTCTTCATCTAAACCCTTTGAATCTTCTTCGGGATTCTCTCTTCTCCGACATTTGACTAAGGAATATCCCGAGGCCAAAGGTGGAGAAGGCAATTTCATACAAGGAGAGAAAGACAAGAAGGTGCTTGACGCTTGTGGAGGTGCAGCTGTGACTTGTTTAGGTCATAACAACAAAAGAATGAATCATGCTATGGCAAATTATTTTCTCCAAAACAATTTGACATATACATCAACAGCTTTTTGGCGTGATCCTACGGTTGAAGAGTTGTGCGATAAGATAATTCAAGGAACGAATTATCAAATGTTCAAAGTGTATTTGGCTGGATCAGGTTCTGAGGTGGTTGAAGCTGCCATCAAACTGTCTCGGCAGTATTATTATGATCAAGATCATAATACTACTCGAAAGTACTTCATCGCTCGAGAGCGCTCATACCATGGAAACACCCTAGGAACCTTGAGTCTTTCAGATTATAAGGCTCGTAAAGACCCCTATGAACCTCTCCTCATACAGAATGTTGAGCGCGTTTCTGCTTGCTATCCATACCGTCAGCAAGAGAAAGATCAATCGGATGAGGAATTCATTTCCATAAAAGTCGCAGAACTAGAGGCTAAGTTTCAAAAACTAGGTTCTGGTAATGTTATTGCCTTCATTGCTGAACCAGTAGTGGGGGCCGCTCTTGGATGTGTTGCTTCTCCTACTGGCTATTTGAAAGCCATGAGAGATGTTTGCCATAAACATGGTGCTCTCTTCATTCTTGATGAGGTGATGTGTGGAATAGGACGGACAGGTGTTCTCCATGCATGGCAGGCAGAGAACGTTGTGCCAGACATTCAATTGGTAGGTAAAGGGCTTGGTGCCGGTTATCAACCAGTCTCTGCAATGATAGTATCCAAAAGGGTTCATGATGTCCTTTTGGATACAAGTAAAGAGTTTGCACATGGGTATACCCATCAGGGCATGCCTATACAAGCTGTTGCAGCTTTGGAGGTTCTTCGTATTATCGAAGAAGAACGTTTGCTGGATAACGTATGCAAACAGGGTGCTTTGCTCGAATACGAATTGAAAGACAAACTGTCAGGTCACGCCCATGTGGGAGACATACGGGGACGAGGTCTTTTTTGGGGTTTAGAGTTCGTTAAGGACAAAAAAACCAAAGAAACCTTT